CTTCCCCACTTTCGCGCGGAAGTCCTCACTCCTGAGATGACTCACGCTGACGCCGTGCGACAAGCTGCCATCGCCCCTTTGGTCCAATGGTTCCACGCCTGTTGCATGATGGTCGCGGGAGGTCATACTTCTACCAGCAATGACGCTGTCAACGTGGCTGCACCCATTAGCGCTAACGCTCTCCAACGAAGTACTAACTGGGTGCTCTCCCCTACCTTGCCGCGCTTGGTGCGGTAGGTCCAGGTCTGACCAATGCGACCTTCAATGCCGGGATCACGAACCTACGTGATACACTGGAGGCCACTGTTGAACAACAACTCCAGTACGACCGTGAGAAGAGCAACAAGACCTTCACGGATAAATTCGGGGCTGCCCTAGCCACTCGCATTCACAACCTCTGCAACGTGGCCGATGATGCGAACCTTCCCGTCATTCACCGTCTGCTCGCGAAGTCCCCTAAGGGGAATGAACACGGGATCCTGCAAGCTCAACTGGATGAATGCACTCAGGCATCGGCGCTACCCATCAACCTCGCCAACAAACCCATGGTCACTGGACACATTCTGGATCGCGTCTTCCGAAAGTACTTCGTGAACGGTCAAGGGACCACCTTGGGCGAAGGCCTCTCCCCCTTTTCTGTCGTGTGCCAAGGCCATTCGGAGGATAAGGCAGTCCAGGACCTAGCCACTCGAACGAAATATGTTGAGAAAGGTGCCTCCATCACCCTGGAAGATGCCATCGCCATCACTTCCAACGACGTCAAATTTCCCACCGATGCTCGCAGCGCTGAACAGAAACTCTACGGCTTCTCCATTATGATAGACGTCTTCCATGGAGGAAACCATCCAGTTTCGCGCTCCGTGTGAGATGTGGCCCTCTCGCTGGGATCCTACCTCCACTCCATCCATGGCCTACACGCTGACAACCGAAGTGTGGCGGTGGACTTGTGCGGTCGCATCCTATTCGAGGTCCAACAAGATTACTTCTTGTGGGTCAATGAAGCTATCCTAAATCCGGGCGCTGCTGCCCCCAACTTTGGAGCACTCACTAGACGAGTTCAGTCCTCCCTTGCCTCGTCTCTCGCTGAGCTCCCTGCTCACTGGTAGTCATTCTTCAAGCCCGCTCCCGAGCCGCCTAGCAAGAAGCCTGTCGGAGCAAACCAACAACGAGTGGGAGCACACCCCGTCACCAACGTCCACGGCAATGAAGACCTCTTGAAGCGCTTCCAGGATTCTGGGTTCCGCTCCATCACTGAGATGACCAAGGACCACCAGTACACTATCCCCAAGCACGGTGGTCAAGACGTCTGTATGGCCTGGGCTCTTAAAGGCAGCTGCACCTCCGGATGCCAGCGCGCTGCCACCCACAAGCGTTACTCAGCAGCTACAGTGCAGAAGCTCCACACTCTCCTCACGGACTGTGGAGTTGCTGATCCGCAGCCCTGAGTTTCCACGCCTGGACTTGCCACCCGTATCTCGGTGGCGTCCATGCCTCGCAAGCAGTCTGGTCTCCGCCCATTTGATCGCGATGTCTCTCCTGTGAAACCTCCAAGGACCAACAGGAGATCAATCCGAAATGACAGATTAGGTACGTTAGTCCAAAACCTTTGCTCAGTGGGAATCCTTTGTCACCGACTTCACAGGGCGCTCATACCTTGCTCCGAACTTGGAGGATGTCGACCATCCTGCCATCCCCTTGCTCTGTCACTGGAGAGACCATGGGGTCCCCGTACAAAACGAATCACCTCCCTGGACGACGGAACAGAAGGAGGAATGCATCCGTCGTGGCTGCCACAAATCTGCTACCGAGCATTCCGACTTCCTCCGTGAGGAATTTTCCGAGTTCATCGAGAACAAGTTCTGGGCTGTCCTTCCCTTCGACCTCGTCAAGGACGAACCCTCCCTCCTTCTATCTGCTGCTGCTGTTAAGGTGGAAATGGACCGCAAACCCCGACTCATCAGCGACCACACCTGGAACGGGGTTGGCCCTCTGTCAACGAGACTACATCACATCACATGCCGCCCGAGGCCATGCAATTCGGAAATGCCCTGCCACGCATCTTATACGATGTACGTCACGTGAAACCCAAGTTTGGGCCTGTCCGACTCTGCAAACAGGACATCAAGGACGGCTTCTACCGCATGTTCCTGAACCCTTCTGACTGAATCCGACTCGCACTGGTACTGCCTCGCTATGAAGGTGAGCCCCAACTGGTGGCCGTCCCAATGTCGTGTACTATGGGATGGGTCGAGTCGCCGCCCACTTTCAGTGGGATGTCAGAGACCACCTGCGACCGAGCAAACGAACGCTTCCTAAAGTCCCCCAGGGCCTGTCCTCCACACAGACTTGAGCAACATGCCGATGAATGACCTGGACCTGTCTACCACTCCTAGACCACGGGAGACGGAGGACCATGCGGCCGCGCAAGAACTCCTTGGGATCGCCACCTCCCCTTTGGAGGCCGAACCGAACCACTTTGCGGGACCTTCGAATAGACCCTTGCTTCAGCCCATCGCGCGAAATGATGCATTCGTTGACGTTTTCATCCAACTGGGCCAGGGAGGAAAGACCCGTATGAAAGCGCTGCGCAGGCACTTACTCCTTGCCATTGACGCGATTCTCGCGCGCCCCAACCACAGCGAGAAATACCGAAATGAAGCAGTCTCGCTCAAGAAACTCCTGCAAGGGGATGGAAGCTGGGCCACTCAAAAATTCATTCTGGGATGGATCATCGACACCCTCCGACAGACGCTGGAACTTCCACCCCACCGGAAGCAGGCGCTCGCCGACATCTTCAAGGAACTAGCCGGGTGTCGCAGAGTCAGCCACAAGCATTGGATGCAAATCCTCGGCAAACTGCGCTTTGTCTCTGTAGCCATCCCGAGCTCCGCTGGACTGTTCAGCGCTCTCCAGCTCGCCCTCACGAAGTCCAAAGGAGGAAGAATCCGGATCAATGCTCCGCTGAGATCCCACATCGATGCGTTTGCTGATCTGGCTGCCAGCCTCTGCCCCCGCCCAACTCACTTTGTGGAGAGCGTCCCCCAGGACCCATCTTTCTTCGGTGCCACTGACGGGAATGGGCGGTGTCTACTTTGACTCTGAGGAAACTCCCTACCTATGGAGGTTCCCGTTCCCTCCTGATGTGCAGGCTCAGCTCGTGTCCACGGACAACCCCAAGGGGGCCGTCACCAACAGTGACCTCGAGCAGGCCGACATCCTTGCGCAACACTCCTTGCAAGTGGCGCAGCACTGCGTCACCTACGCCACCCTCTACACTCTCTCGGACAACACCCCGGCCATCTCCAGAGTCTCCAAAGGGGCGGTGACTTCAGATGGTCCTGCGGCGTTCCTCTGCAACTACGCCTGCCGCCACCAGCGAGGGCACCGCTACTGCGCCCTCTTGTCCTACATCCCGGGTCCTGCCAACATGATGGCTGATGATGCGTCGCGTCTGCAACACCTCACTCTGCCTGAACTCCTCGCCCACTTTGAACAGCGCTATCCGCAGAACAGACCCTGGCAGGTGTTGACTCTGCCACCCGAGGTCGGTTCACAATTGATCTCCGCCTTGCGCTGCTCACCGCTTCCAAGAACATTGTCGCCCAAGACCGAACCTTCGGACGATGATGTGACTTCTGCGCGGGCCTCGGCGTCAACCCATCCCTCTGTGATATCCCTGACCAAGAAATCCAAGCCTGCTACCTTCTCATCTTCCGAAACCGTTACCGCCAGTCTAACAATGTCCAAGCTGACTCAGTGGACAAGGCCCTTCTCGCCGTCGGGAAGGGGATCACCGACCTGGGTCACCCTGATCCCAGAAAGCTCAAAGCAGGATCCGACCACAACCATCCAATACTCACTGCTTTCCTCAAAGGACTCAAGGATGAGGATGGACCCCTTGACCGAGCCTACCCCGTCAACCTCTCCATCCTCCGAGCTATGCTCGATGCCCTGGACTACGACGACGCCACCTGGGGAACCCTCAACCGCCACGTCCGAGACCTCTGCATCCTGGCCTTCTTCTGGCTTCTGCGTCCTACGGAGTATCTGGACACCGGGAACCCTGAATCCCGAAGCCAAGCCTTTCGCCTCTGTGCTGTCTCATTCACTATCCGCGGCGGTCTCCAAGTCCGCGGAGACACCATCTCTTTGAATGACATGAAGAACCACGCGTGCCTCACCGATGCCACGTTTACGTTCACTGACCAAAAGAATGCTGTCTCCGTTCACTGACCAAAAGAATGCTGTCCGCGGCGAATCCGTGGGCCACCGCCCGACCTCTGATCCGTGGCTATGCTCGGTAAAGTCTCTCACGCGTGTGGTCTACCACCTCCGTACCAACGGCGCCGATGCCGATACTCCCCTCTTCAACCACTTCAATGCGGCCCGCAACCGGTGGTATCCTGTGAAGCCCTAGTTCATCTGCGGCCCTCATCTCCCCCGACACCGGCATCAACCCTGACAAGGTCTCTGCCCGCTCACTCCATCCTGGTGGTGCCACAGCCCTTCTCTGCGCACATGTTGACTTGGATGCCATCCGCCTTCTCGGCCGTTGGAAGTCCGATGCCATGTTCCGCTACATGCGCATCCAAGCCGCTGCCGCCACCCACCACTACTCCCAACAGATATTGGACCATGGGGCGTACAACTTCCCGGGAGGCACCTACGATCGCCACCTCCTCCCGGCGCAAGCGCCCCAACACTGCAATGAGATTCTTCTCCACGAAGAACTCTACGAGGACTAACCTACCTTAGTCCTCGCCCCCCTGTCCTTGCCTACACCTGGACAGGGGGTAACTTCTCCCACCCCGCTACGCTCCCTCCACTTGTAGGTGTACTCTCAAGGTTTGTTTTGATAGTTGTTTCTAATACTTTGTTGTTATTTTGCCTCGACCTCGAAAAGTGAGCCAAAAGTGATGAGAACTGAAAAGTGATCTTGTCAAACTTGATTCAGGGGAATCCTGAAAGTGTGTGAAAGCTCAGGAAGTAAGACTGCATGTCGAGGTAAAGGAGGCTATATATCAAACATTCTAGAAAAAGATAATTGATTCCATTAGACAGTGCCCATGGTTGAGAGATCTTCTCTTGTTGCATAAGGGTCAATACCAACATTGCTCAAGAATACCTTCCCAGGGCCATTCTCCTTCCCAGGCGTCACTGATCCAGCTACAGCGAAGCACCCTGGATGAACAACACCAGACACATAGGTGTCCTTAATCATGAGCCCATTTCCATCAATGTAGTGACCATTCAGACTAGAGCTGTCCACAACTGTGCTTCCCTTGAAGTGCAGTTTTCGATATTCATAGATTGCATGGCCAAAGTACCAGAGATCATCATCCACCTTGGCTCCCATGAATTGAGCATAATAGGGAAACATGGGAGTACCACAAATCAGCAGTTCTAGCAAGTTTCGAATACGGAATAACCACACGTGGTTGATGTAGACTCCAAACAAAGATACTTGAACATTTCTCGGAAGGCTCAGCATCATCCATTCAACAGTCCTTGTAGAAAGAATCCACACACAAAGCAGCGCGAAAAGAGCTGTAACAAAGCAACCTGCAGCAATCCAAGTTGAGGAAGTTTGGGTGGCATGATGGACAATCTCATAGGAAGGTATGAGACTTGCAAAGAGAACCATGTTGAGAACTAGTTGTGATAGTTCTGGGAGGAAGATGTTCATGAGTGGGGATGAATTCAATTTTGGTCTTGCATGGTTCAGATCATAGATGCTGTCAGACAGATCCGTCCTTGGTGGAATCATTGATCGCATGATCTTGACACCCGAGTGAAGATTAACGTGGTAGCCAACACTACTGTTGATGATCTCAATTTTGGAACCCACTTTACCATCAAAATCAAATGTGATGGTGGCCACAAAGGACTTCCTGATCTTCACGAAGTCCACCGTTGAAGGAGAGAACTTGGTGAATGGGGTGAAATTAAGTTCTGATCGCAAGTCAACATCAAGACCATGAAGGAAAAGAACGATGTTCCATAGTTTTGAGTGGCCAATTAGTGGGGTGATGGGCCAGGCAGCTACACGGAAGTGGAAGTCGCAGGCCCAGTTGGTTGCCCGGCGATACAGTGAATCTTCAAATTCATCAGATGGATCACGTTTCCCAATTAGAAGCCATTTGAGTGCTATGCTTGTGAGGATAGCAAGGAAGGAGGAGAGTGGAAAAAGCAGGAACCAATGGAGGATGGTAGCATAGCGCCAAGAGGGCAAGGTGTTGTGTAGCATGGTATGCACAAGGAAGGAAAGGGCAAAGTAGTGATATGCTTCAAGGAGAAGCCAATCAATCTTGATGACATCCAGCAGATTCTCTTCCCAGTACCGTGATTCTGAAGGCTCAAATGAGCCAGCATGGCATGCTGGATTGCCTCTGGCAAGTACTCCATCTGGCACTTGAGCCCCTTCATCAACAACAGACAGTTTCTCCACCTTGCTGCCATCACCAATGGAAGCACCAAGACTGACCATCCCAGACACTTGGCAGCTCTTCCCAACAACAATTGGTCGGAAGGTAACTGTTGGACCTGTGTCTGTTGATTGAGAGAATTTCCTGCACTTTATAGGGTGGCTGATGACAGAGTTGTCCCCAAGGCTCACAAGATCAAATTCTCGGATAAAGGATCCAATCCTGGTGCTCCATGCCAGGTCTGCTCCAAGAAGCCAGTAGAAGATCCAAATGAATTTCGTCTCCACAATAAACCACCCTACAAAATGCTCCCAAACTTCCAGAAGTCTGTCAATAAACCACCACTGAAGGTAGCCCCAAGACAAGACTTCAATATGCCTCTGCACATATGTTCCATTGACTGCATACTTGCAGAAGACCACAATGATGGAAAAAGAGAAAAGGTAGAGGGGAAAGGACAGAGGTAACAGAAGCCAAAGGACTGGTGTGTTACACTCCCCAACTTTAGCTGATTCACAATGGTTCATCACCCAGGAGACAAGGAAGTATGCCGGAATGATGGAAATGAAAAAGAGCAGAAGAATCAACACTGATCCCAGAGTTTGCAACATTCCAAGCTGTAGCTTGCTGAGCCTGGACCTTGATGAGTCCAAAACAAAATCAGAGTCATGGCAAGCCTCTTCTACAGGAAAACTCTTGCCCTCTGATGCTTCCAAGAAGACTGAGAGTGCTTGAGGTGTTGCGTAGAGTTGCTCAAAGTTTACTGGAAGGACCACATGCAATACTTCTTCTACTTTGTTCCTAAGCTCAGCACTCTTGAGAGATGTGAGTCCATTTTCAGCCCATGATTTTGATGGGTCTGCTTTGTAACCAAAGACAGCTTCAATGGTGTTGGCATATTTGGTGGAGAAACAAGCTGGATTTGTACCGGTAGGTTCTCTTACTGAGGAGCCATCATTGGTTTCTGGTGTGCTTGCTTGGGCTTCGTGATTTCTTCCAACTAGGGCACTTGTTTTGTGGGTTTGGATCACAGTCATATCACAAAGTGTTGCGTTGTGATCAGCATCATCGCCAGCCACTGTTGGAAAATTGTTGCAAAGTCGCTTGAGCTGCAGCAACTTGGAAGACTCCTTCCAGTCACCAGCTATAGTTGTCTGCCTGATCTCGTTCCTCTTCAGCTTGCCAGATGTGGTCTTTGGGGTCACACCTAGCTTGAGAACCACAGCTTCTGCCACAAACAGTCCATGAACCTGAGATACATGGTTGGATAATTGAATCGCCAATTCTTTGTTTGCTGACTTGTCAAAACCTTTTCGAGCCTCCACTGTGATGCCAATACTGGCATCACCATACTGGAAAGCTGCAGTGCGTCCAGGACGGATGATGTCGCCAAAGGCTGCATCAATGGAGAGCTCCGCATCAGTTGGGTAGTAGTTTTTCCCATTTATAATGATGACATCTTTGACCCTCCCAGTGACATAGAGCTGCCCATTAACAACCTTGCCCAAATCTCCAGTATCTAACCAGGTCCCGTCATAACCAGGTAGCTTATTGGCAAAAGTTGCAGTTGTCAGCTCAGGCTGGCCAAAGTACCCAGCTGCTACACGGGGTGACTGGGCCCAGATACTTCCAACCTCTCCATGCTCAACTTCCTTTCCATCCTGGATAATTCGAAGTTTGAGGGTTGGAGAGTCTACTTCTCCACAGCAGACAAGCCCCTCAGCATCAGGGCAGGCAGAGCCACCAGTGAGAAACACAACAGCCTCAGCAAGGCCATACGTGTTGCATACATTCTCACGCTTGATGCAGAGTGTCTTTGAAACTGCATCCATCACATGGCTCTGAGCAGGCTCTGCACCAAACATTGCACACTCTATAGAACTCCAATCCGCGACCCTTTTGGCCTGCTCCAACCGTTTGAGGAGCAAGGCATAAGCAAAGTTAGGGGCACACGTATGCGTGGCATGGAAATTCTCAATCATGTCAGCCCACAAAAGAGGTCTAACAACAAAGTCAAGTGGGGATGCTACCACAAGGGGGACACCAGAATACAGGGAAGACATAAAGCCAGCAACAAGTCCCATATCTGTGTTCAAACAAGAACTTCATGAGACAAAATAAGCCAGTAATTAATTGGTAGCAAAATCTGGAACTCACCATGGTATTGAGGGACCCAATAGGCTTGCAAAGAATTGGCGTCTGGTTTGGTAAAGGCAACACCAGCCCTGCAATTTTCGACCAAGTTGTGGTGGCTGACCATGACTCCTTTGGGTCGTCCTGTGCTGCCCGAGGTGTATTGGATGAAGCAAATTTTATTTGGCTCTCCCACATAGGTCTCATAATCTTTGGGTTTGTTTGGGTTGCATTTTCTGATTGTTAGCTTGTCGGTCCCAATCCAAGCGACACCAGTCTTGTAAAGGACACTAGCAGCAGTCATGCCAGCAGCAAACATGTTAGTTGAGAGAGCATACTTCGCTCCAGCATCCTCAGCAAATCTTCGGAACTTGGGCATTTCTGTTTTGAGCTGATTGGGGTTGGGTGGATAGATGGAGCAGGGAATGACTCCGATCTTCATGGCTCCAAACATTCCAGCTAAGAACTCAAGACCAAACGGATAGGCAATCATGACACGGTCTCCCTTTTGGCATCCCTGCTTGAGAAGACGAGCCGCCACAGCATTGGATTGGTCTTCCAGCTGCTTGAACGTCACAGTTTGTTGCTCTTCACAATGGATATCCACCCATGTGAAGATGACCTTTTCAGAGGCGTCCACGGCATGAGAGTTGAGGACCTCTAAAATAGTTGAGAAACACTTCATTTTGCCTTTCTTGTTGTTGATTGTTTGCTCGTTGGGACCACGTCTTGTTGTTTATGTGGACATGGTTGAGTTGTCGACAAGGGGGCAATGTTTTTGGAGAGAAACGATTTGGAAGACTGGAACCATTCCCTGTGCATTGTTCCATTGGAGTGGGGAATATGATGGGTTGGGGCTTTGCTTTTCAAAGCTCGCGTCGCACCTTGAAGCATCTGTTTGAAACAAGGGTGTATGCAGCCCGAGTGAGTGAAGCTTTTTAATTTTTTGCTGGTGTTTGTTGCGGATTTTGCGCTGCTGTGTCTAGACCTGGCGGTACTGGTCGAAAAGATACCCATCGTGTTGAACATTCGGATCGTGGCAGGCAGTAATAATTACTCGGAGTACTCAGTCGCGGGAGTTCGTTCTGTAGCATTTACTAAGAGACTCAAGATTTATTACAGTACGCATCTAAACTTTCGATCTTGCAACCGGGACCCAGCTTCCAATTTGATCCGGTAGCAAAGAATCAGAAGGTTTCTTGTCTGGAAGTCTTTCCTTGTTGTTCTTGCCGAACGCGATTGTCGGTGGCCCGGTGGCCGTGGCGGCGTGGCCCACTCGTCCATGCAGGTCCCTTGAAGAGTTATGCAACAAGTACGGAAGGGAATACATGTAATTCGATTCGATTCATCATCACTCGATTATCATCGAGACACGACTCGACTCTCTCGACTCGACTGTGACGATGCAGAGGATCCGGAGCAAGGAACAACTGTCGATCCATGGCTTGGCCCAGGAAGTCAAGGGCGGCAACGAGCAACTGTTGCCATTTGAGATCATTGTTTTGCCTCTCAACGAGGATAGTGGTACCGGTAGGTACCGATATCATAGCAGTAATAAAACCTTGGTACCGGTAGCAGGCATAGTGCAGGAATTTCCTTTCTGGAAGAAATTCCCTCCAGGATTCCTTGAGTGGGGGATTAGTTTCCTTGCAGGAATTCCATTCCTCCATTCCTCTCCTTGTCATGGACTCAACGTGCAAAACGACAAAGACATGGCAAAAAGGCCTTGCCATTCTGTCCATCTTCCTCCAAGTGGACGTCACCAAGCAGCAGCATCAATGGATTCGTTCCGTTTTGGCCGGACTGCAGCAGAAGCGGAAGAGGTGTTTACCGGAAAAACTTATATCATGGGGTGAGAAGTGATGTACTAGTAGAACCGAGACTAGCTAGCTAGGTCTATCTTCGTCAATTTTTGACCTAATACTGTTTGCCCCGAATCTTGACCAAAGGTCAGCCCTTTCAGACGTGGGTTCTATCTAGCTAGCTAGACATGACTATGTTTAACTTAAGGAGCTCTGATCGAGAAGCATCAATGCGCCAAGACTGTGCAAGTCCCTTGATATTTTCCAAATAGTAGTTGTCCGTGTCGGCTCCTGCCAAGCTGAACCTTAGCACATTCCCTTTGGGTACAAGATAGGCGACTGGCTCCAGCGAGAACTCTACCGTTGTCCAGTCTTCCAACGCCAGCATGTCACGCATCAGGTAGGATCGCTCGATGGTATCAAAGGCCCCAACGTGTGTGGTCTTGTTGTTGTTGTTGTTGTTTGTAGACGCTCGATGCACAGCTCGAATACAACCCTCTGTTATGTAATTCGCCACCCCCGAAACAGGATTGTAATTGTCCAGGTAGGCGAAAATGGCGGTATCGGTAGCTCCTGGATTGAGTGCAAGGGTGAGTGCCACATGAGTAGTGCCCACCAAGGCCCAATCTTGCGTCAACGGCTTGGTTGCAAAACCAAGGGAGTGTTTCCACTGGGCAAGGCGGTCTGGATAGGTAATGGGACGTTTCATTATGTGCTGCACCAAATTCCAGCGACTATTAAAGCCAGAAGTGGCCCTGAAATCCAGATAATATTCAATGTGCTTGTCCGTCGATGTTGTCTGAACGTCGGTCCCATTGATCTGGATGGAGAGGTCCGAAAGAGCGACTGCTTGGGATGTTAGACCTTCTCTTGGCGGCCAAGCATTGGCACCCGTGCACCATTTGTCAGCGCCGGAAAGAAATAATGCAGAGGAGGCTCAGAGGAAGGCATATCTCGACAGTCGTCGCGAAGTTTGCAGTCCAAAAAGCGCTTGACGTCTTGCATCAGAGGGTAACTAGGTTTTGTGGTGTTGCTTGTGGGTGTCCAACAAGCTCTCGCTCCATGGGTCCAAGGCCCAATAGTAAGCTTTGCGTTTTGTGTTTTGCAGTTTGCCATGTTCTAGAATGTACACGTTTAGCCCTTTTTAACATTTAACGCAATGTTAAGCGTTTTTTAACTGCAACATTCGGATTCTTTAACATCGCATTTTCGCCCAATAATTCTCGAATGTTAAAAAACCTTTTGCCGTTCACTTTTAACCCAATTGTGGACTACCGATTTAACACTAGCATGACTCGAGGTTTAACATTGCATCGCTAACAAACAGTGTTAAAACAACGTTTTCAAGATTGGGCTTTTAACAAAACACATTTTTGGATTTAACACCTGATATTGATAGATTTAACAGCATCCCCCAAGCCAAAATTTGAAGCATTCAAACTCGTGCGGTCGGCACTTGATTGATGCCGATGGAGAGCAAAATGACAAGAGTGTTGGGCATTGTGCCGCTTTTAAGGGAACCCTCACAGGTCTAGCCATGTGTCAACTCAATGAACGTCTTGCGGATGAAGATGGGAGGAAAATTTGGCTTCATGTGCTGTCGGTTTGGTACTGTTTGGATTGCCTTGAGCTGTCGACGGGCAATTCCACCGATTCCATTCTGCGGCAGTCAAATGGCGACCATGGACGACGAGAATGTGTTGCTTCAGCTTGCTGTCGAAGTGTACAGGTCCATTCCGGAATGGGGCACCCTCCACCTCGATGCTGAAGATGCTTTGATCTCGGTTGGAATGAAAGAAGAAGATGCGCTGTCGGAAGCAATGAAGGCCCGATTCCATTTATTGGCAGTTGGTGCCCATCAACGATATGGTTCAATACTACATGTCAACAGCTACGATGAAAATTGCAGGAGAGCGGTCTATATTGCTCAAAGAATGAAATACCGCACTGACAATCGGAAGCAAGTACCCCTTGCTCATGCTATGCTAGCCGCAGGGTTTTCTAAGGAGCAATCCGGTCCGGGGAAAGAGTACATGCGAGTGTCCCGTGCGCTGAAATCAGCTCCACCACTCTCTCCTACGCCTTTACAACCCATTAACAAGCAGCTTCCACGTCTTCCGACCACCAACAACCAACAGCAACGCTGGGGTCCGCGTCCCCCTCCTCAAATCAATATCCATGCAACAGCTCGGAGGGAACCGATGATATCGCCTCTGTCGGTGGCATCCTCCGCCAATGGCGATGGTGGTATTGTTCCTGTTGTGACAATCAACGGTGAAGACATCGAAATTTTTAATTCTCCCCCACTGTTTGGTAGTCCAGAGATTCATGTATTTGGTGACGAGAATTCCATTGACACAACGGCGAGAAATTTATCATTGAAACAGATTCGAAAGCGGAGGCAGGCCAATATAAAAAGTGACATCTCTCACTTGACAACAACAAAAGATCCCCGGAGAACTACGCATGCGGCTCAAGTGGAGCGGCAGACACATCGAGAGTTGGACAACATCCGTAAATCCATGTACAAGGCTGGCACAATGTTGTACAAGTCCGTGCAAATGAGAGAAAACACTCTCACAGTATTCCAAACCGCTGAAGATGTAGCAAGAGCTTTGAACAACCTCTCCGGAATTGATTGCATTTCTGGAAGAGAGTTGACTACAGCTGTTCGAACGGGCAACGTCGGCAAATCGCCTCCAAGACTTGGTCGGAAAGGCGAGGTTCCAGAAGACGTCTTCAAGGCATTTTGTGATCTTGTCTTTACTGCTTGTGCAATCGAACAAGCTAATTGCAGTAGTCGGTCCACAAGGGAGCAACTCAAGAGCTGTGTTGGTGAAATCTTGAATAGCAAAAGACAAACTGATGGTCTGGAACCAATGAATGATTCGAAGTTTTATTCGAGGATTGAAAAAGCAATTTGTCATCTACAAGATCTCAACAAAGCTGACAGTAGGGAATCCCTTCGTATCCTCTGGCTCACGTATCAGTCTCAGCTGTTGCACTACAAGAAATGGGAAGAGGAAGCAGTTCGTCTCGGATTCGCCCGTCCTCTTAATCAAGATGAATCCTCGGAGGAAGTTGGGTTCATTGTCTGGGATGAACAACGTCTTAGTCATGTGCTACAATTCGATGAAATGAATGTGGCTCTTGATGGAGCCGACTCTTCGATTGGTGGAAGAGAATCGAAAGTCCCTACCGCAACGGGGATTGGTTTAGCTGACGCTGGCACTGCGGCTGAAAAGTCAGGCGCAAAGATGACTATCATGTTTGGCTTAAATTTTGCTGGTGAAGCTCTGCCACCACTGCTCCTCTTTCCCAGCCACGCAAAGAATCCAGCTAACTATAAACTGAAAGCGGATTTCGCAAAGTGTCTGCCACAAGTGGAGGCAATCTATGGCTTCGATAAACCAAGGGCACACAACATTCCTTTTGCTATGAATCCCAAGGGGAGCATGACAAAGGAAATGCTTAACGATTTCTTTGAACGATGCGTTCTTCCTCTCTACCCAGATTGTGCCGATACCAAGGAGTCATCGTTGCTCATCAAAGTGAACTCTGGACCAGGCCGGCTCAATCCTCCGATGCTCAGATTGTTGCGATCCAGAGGAGCTCATCTATACCCCGGAATGCCAAATGGAACAGAGGTTGGCCAAGAGTGTGATCAAGTCTTCAGTTATCTTAAGAAGCTGGTCTACGAAAATAGACAACGCCTTTGGCAAGCACGATTTCGCTTGGAGGGAGAGTCGGCATCGTTATCGATGTCGGACGTGACATCATTGGTCTTTGGAGGGAGTGTGACGATGATTGATGGAAGCTCTATTGAGCTAGAGAATGCGTTCACTAAAGCACTGGATAAAGACCACATTCACGAGGCAATGGATAAATGTGGCTACTGTCCAAGCACTCGACAAGCTTTGAAAGCAACACAGATCCGACACGAAATCGTTGAGAGCGAAGCCGGTGATATCGATGAGGTTGCCGACCCTTACGGGACACTGCTTCAAGAGTTGGAGGAACAAAATGATGAAGCTGTGCGTATGCTTGTGGAAAACGGCTACACACTTGCCAACAACTTACAACGTGCTGCCAATCGTGTCACTGGAGCACAAACCAGAGGCCGAAACTCGACCAAGACGATTCCAAACACTCGCGAGCGGCAGGATGCTATTATGAGCGTCTCCACTGCTGGAGGATGGTTTCATGTTACCGGTGGAGGAGGACCGATGACTTGTGACGATGCTCTGATTGCATTTACGCGGAAGGAGTGGCTAAAGGAGATAGAAGAGCTGGAGAAGAGGAAGAAGCAGTGCAGTGCTGGTATTGACGTTGCGATCGAAGCACGCAAGATTTTGCTAGAAGGGAAAGACGCCAAAGATCTTCGGAAACCGGAGCTTGCAATGTTGATACAGTGGAAGCAAGGAGCGAATCCAGCCGCTCCAAACAATGAGAAGATCAAAGTCAACAAGCCGGTGCTGTTGAAGCTGTGGAATGAGAAATACTCGGCAATGCAAGCTCCGGACGATGGTGATTGGACAGAACAAGACGAGGAGAGGCTCGATCAGCTAAGAACTGGAGACATCACGTGCTTTTCAAAAGACGTTGGATTGGAGCGATGCATGGAAACCGAAGACGATTATCTTGCGACACGGCTACTTGCTATTGCATCTGATCGGAGGGAAAGCATCCTGCTAAACGTTCTGCACAAGATGAAAACGGAAGAGGCAGAGGCGATTATATCGAGTCTTTGAGCAATTAAATAGATTGTTATAGCATCATTTGCTTATTGTCTGTCAAATAAGATTTCATACGTTCAAACAGAGCTCTTGAAATCCTCCAAATCAAGCTGGGTCTGCACCAAAGATCGCGCCCAGTTGAGTGCCTTGTGAAGAGGCTTGCCTTTGTCGCTGTCACTTGTTTTAGGAACAATGACTTCGACTCGGACCACATCATTAGCTTGTGGATTGCTCTCCTCATCGTATGAGAAAACAACTTCAACCAAGCGACTCTTGGACTTCGTTCCTCGGAGGGTAGTGCACTTTGGGTCCATCCAACGAACTCGCTTCGTCAATCCAACAGGAAAATGCTCTTGATGCTGGTTAATAGTGTCGTCAACACGTAGAAATCCTTTCACCATGAACCGAAATTTGGAAGATCCGTGAAATCGTTGGAACAAGATTTCAGTTGCTTTGACTTCCCACTCTCCTCCAGATACCATTCGCCACAGGATCACAGGGTGTTTTTCGTCGGAAGCCTCCATATCATCTAGATTGGTAACAGGATAAACAGTCAAAACTGTAACCCACTCAGCGTCAGAAGGATTGATATTCGCCATCTTGCTCCCTTAAAATTGTGCTTCGAAGCAAAGGTTGGTGCGGCGGACCAACGGTCGCCCACAGCGTGCCTGGTCGCTGGAAGGTTCTTGAGAGTGTGGTATGCTCCTCTTGAGACAACAAAATCAATCGACGAAGAGTCGTCCTAGATTGTTCTGGAGCCAAGACTCGCGTAAAGAGAGACATAACTTCCGCTGTCACGCCAGCAATGGATGGACGTCGATCAAGGTTGATTGTCGATTCGACACAAAGCTCATTTTCTACACTTTTCCGATTAAACGAAACCAACCAACATGAGCAACCACCAGGAGCAGCTGAAGATTGCTTCGTTTGTCTGTGATGGCGAGGACATGGTGCCATTGACTGCTGATAGCAAGAATCTCCTTGCCCAGAAGATCAAAGGGAAAGTAGCGGAGGCTGTCAACACGGGCACAGACATTTGCATGGCAGTGTTTGTCCGTCCAGGTGTTTTCATTCCAACTGGAGAGATGATCTTTCTAGACGATATTCATGCCACCATCGTCTACTCGGATGCCAGTGTTCTTGTGCTGTGCGCGGATCAAGGAAATCGCATCGTGTCGGTGCATTTTGTTGGCGCGTCGACTCCTTTCCGTATCGCCCATGCTGTCGAAGACGAAGCTGCTGTCGAAGACGAAGCCACTGGAAACGAGAACAGCTCAAGCAACGAGGACTCGGTTGCGTCTCTTCCTCGCAATCGCAACCGTGGTGGTGCTCGCAACCGTGGTGGTGCTGGTGCTCGCAACCGTGGTGGTGCTGGTGCTCGCAACCGCGACCGTGCTGATTCTTCCTCTGATTCTTCCTCTCTTGGTGAGGAATTTCCCGGCCTCAGCCAGCTCCACCTCTGAGGGACTCTTGTTGATGTTGCAGGCAACTGTATTGCCGCTGCAGCGGCTGTATCACCATGGTTACGGCATCTATATTGCCCATCGTCATGTCGACCTTTTGTTGTGTTAAATATTTTTAACATTACTTAGAAAAAACCGCGAAGCTGTTAAAAGGTGTAAAACGTGTAATTGTGCAATCGAGCGGAGGATCGAAAGGACCCACTGTCATAGTACCCTGCTAGCGAGTAGACTGCAACATCATTTTGGATCAGACAGTCAAATGTTTCTCTGGTGATTCCTAAGGAGGCCATCGAGTACCACTGGCCATTGTTCGCCTTGACAATGGAATCTTTGGCTTGGACCTTTTTGGCCGATGCCAGCATGTTAAGGTTGTCGTGTTGGGCAACAGCTTCCACCAGTTGAGCTTCCTCGTTGTCCACGTGCATGGTGCCATCAAAAAGGAGGCTACTCATGAGTTTAAAAGACCGGGGCAATCTGCCGTCTGGATCGTTGACTGGTATGTTTCGTTCGCTTGCTTGGGTGAAGCGCTCATTCCACAAACCCAGTGTTGACAATGCCTCCGGGAAAGCAAAGATCCTCAAACAAATCACCTGGAGCAAAGAGGAGGACAATGGCCTGCACCAGTCTCTTGGAAGCCGCAGCCGCCAAAGCAGCAGTGATCCCATCATAGGAGATCCCTCCAGAACCCACTTTCCCGTTGCACCAAGATTGTTCATGAACCCATTCGGCAACTTCCACATAATCTTGAACCTCACGAGCCACCAAATCGATAGGACGAGGCCCATAGGATGCACCGGTGCCTCTCACGTCGACGGAGACCATAGATAAGCTTCTAGGGGATTGTTGTCCTGCCCTACCAAGGCTTGCAGGTATTGCAAGGGACGTACCGTATTGGCAAATGATCGGCAGGGGCTTCTCCAAACAAGCGCATCCAGCTGGCTAGAAGCGTACGTTTTTCGGCTCGTCGATACCGAGTCAAATGAAGAAATGTTGGGAGGCGTTTTCCAATCGAAACATCGTATTCTCCAGGAAGGTAGACGTCCACAGCGAGATGGACTCCATCGCTCGTGGTTACATATTGAGAAGATCGTTGAAATGGTGCGTGGGTTGGGCAGGTGCCAAGAGGCCTGGCAAAGAATAGATGTCCCCCGTGGTGGCGAAGAAGGGAACATCCGAGCCAGACGTGGTTGGTCTCTTACGAGAAACTACAGCAAAGATCGTCGCGGTAAAGCCAACAGCCAAGGAAAGTCGAAGCCACATACCGTAAGTACCGGTAGTACTGTATCCGATCACGCTACGAACGAAGGAGGGAGAGAATGACACTGCCTGTGAAGAATGCGAATTTGCAAGGCCAAAATGCTGAAATAAATTTAATGATGCTGATGAATCCAATCTCAATCTGAAAGATATGGTCACCAACAGTACATGCTCATTGCATCGAATGAATCGAATCGAATCATTCATTCGATTCAATCGGATCTATCGTCTTTCATTACATACCTGGTATGGTACGATTGAATGATTGAATTGAATCATTCGATGGGCTGATGGTCTGGCTAACGAAGCGTAGACTAGATAGTTGGTTCCCTTTTATTTTGCCAAATCACCGATGGCTTGGATGAGTGTCCTTGCCACGAGTTCCACGAGAGTCAGAAAGACCATTGCAAATCTTGTACCGTATAGGAATTCATTCAATGAGGGAGAGCAGACAGACAGACAGACAGACAGTCATCAGGTGCTGTGCCTTCAATAATGATGAGGCTGAACCAACAAGAGTGCCGTTTCACGATTTGATTGTCCACGGCTTCCAACAATAATCGTTCCGAAGACGACTAAACGACTGGCACAATTGAGGCAGGACCGTCTCGCCCAATAATGGTAGGGATGTGTGACGATCCGACGCGTCCATGGAGGCTTCCGGGGTAACCAGTTATATTAGAAGAATAATTTTCATTGTCCAGTCCTTCTCGAACGATCGCTCCAGATACTACATGTATAGCGTATTGGAAAAAGAAGAGGAAAAGGCTTGCACAATAATCAGACAAACCTTCAACACCACGGGAAATGGAAAACACCGCATCCAATCATGGTTCAGAGTTGGCCAATCCCAGTTAGTTGTTTCGGCCCTGCGCTCACATTTTCGCCAAAACCAAAGACCGTCCCGTCAAACTGCGCACACAGCACAACCCCAAGGGCTACCGCATCCCAATAAGCACCATACCACCAACAAACGCCAAGCTTATAAAGGGATACGAAACACCCAATTAATTTTAAAAGACTGATCTACCAAAGAACGCACAAGATGGGCCCGTTTCTGTTTTCGATAGCGCTGCTGTGTCTTGCTTCCATCGTCCAATCTCAGTCTACCAATGATACCACGACGACGACCGTCACTCTATTGAATCGATCCGTCGCGGTGACGGCAACCCGTATTGACTGGAGCGACGATGGCCTGATAGGCACAATCCCATCTGAGATTGGTCTCCTGACTGACTTGACGCATTTGTCATTATCATTCAATGATATCTCTGGTGCGTACTGTACCGTTCCTCTCGACCGATCGATCGATCGTGTATCGTTGTAAATAAGAGTAGGAACGATTTATGATACCCCTGCCTGCCTGACTCACTCATTAACTATTCGCTATTTCCAGGGACCCTCCCTTCTGAGATTGGATTGCTCACTGAGTTGAGTTATTTCTCGGCCAATGTTACGAGACTTGAAGGGACCATTCCGAACTCTTTGTCAATGTTGACCAAGTTATCGGTCTTGGATCTTGCCATGAATTTTCTGACTGGGACAGTGCCCTCGGAACTTGGTCGACTGAGTCTCTTATCATCTCTACAGCTGTTTGCGCAGGACCTTACGGGATATGTCCCTTCAGAAATTGGGCTATTGCAGAATCTTACGTCCTTGCCGTTTGTAGGTACGTGGAAGATGTCTTTTACGTCGTGCCTTGCACGTTACCAACTCTTAATCCTCTCTATATTTATTGATGTTCGCTCATTTCATCACCAGGAAATCTCTTCTCCGGTGAGATTCCCGAGGAAATTGGCACCATGACCCAGTTGACAATTCTGTCGTTTTGGGGCAACAACCTAAATTCGACAATCCCCTCGGAACTGGGACAATTGACGCAATTGCAACGCATGTCGTTTTCCCTAAACTCTTTATCCGGGACCGTACCGACCACTCTTGGCCGTCTGACCAATTTGGTCAGTTTGTCCCTCAATTACAATGACCTGTCAGGGCCCATTCCCAGTGAACTGGGACTCTTGACCAACCTGGAATCACTGCGACTCTTCGCCAACGATTTGACGGGAACCGTTCCGGAGGAAGTTTGCTTGTTGACGACGACCACCACAACGACACATCAATCCGCCAATGACACTGTAGTATTCCTTCATCGCATTGGTTTGGACTGTTTGGAAGTTTCCTGTGGCGGCAACTGCGCCTGTACGTGTTACGATGTGTGGTCCTTGGAGGCTAATATTGGCTTATTCTCGGCCAGTAGTAGTACCAGCATCTCTCGATCCTCCTCGGTGCCATAGTGTCTCTGACTGACTGACTGACAGAGAGACCATGTGATGGCTTTCCAGCGACCATGTTTCTGTACCACACTCAAACTGTGACATACAACAACAAAAGGATTACCGTGGTTACTCGAGTCTTCTCGCTGTACTGTACTGTGCTGTACTGTACTGTACCGGTACTGTACGTGTAGGTGGGTGGATCCAGTGGCACGTCGCCTGCATGGGTCGGAAGTTGGCTCAGGTAGCCAGAAGCGTCGGCCAAGGCAACCATGCACGTGTTTCAAAAGTGAATGGCGCTGAAAGATATACTGCTTCATTGCTACCTTTTAAAATTGCTTGCATTCTTGTGATTGTAAATGTGCGTAGCTAACTATAAATTAGCAATATAGAGGCAACTTTGTTTCACAATCTACCAACCAAACATTTTTGTAGATTGTGTCCTTCCACACCTTTGTCTATGATTCTGCTACTAGCTAGTTGGACACAGTACCGGTATCGTAGCTCAGCGGTACTGTAGCTCGATCAGTGGTGGTGGCTCACAAACCAAGGATACCCCGGCCCGTGCCGACCCTCTGCTGACGACTCGACTCCACTCGACGGAGTACGAGTACGGTATTATCGACGACCGATGGCTTGCTGCTACATGCTACCAGTATCTATAGCAATAGTAGCGCGTCGTTCAATCGCTTCGGTCGTTGTGTTGTGGACTGGGTATTTCTTTTCAAAGGCAGAATCGCTGCAAAGCAAAACAAATCCTTGCTTTCTTCGTGTAGACGACCGATGGAACGCACGGTACATGTAGTAGTACATGTAAATGTTGTCGTTCGTTGACTGGCTAGCGACTGTTACCGTCACCGTCGTGGTAGCGCGTCTTGTATTCACTGCTTTCCTGATGGATTCTTCCAGATGGCAGGAAGGAACAATGCACATGCAGTCAGAGAAATGAGCGGGAATGGAGCAAGGGAGAGGGGTATATTGATCCAGAATGCCACGGTTGTCCCAATGCCTGCATTTACGGGGGTTTAGAATAGCTAGAACGTCTAGTTCAAATTTGATGCAAAAATCTAGATATATATATAGGCTGTAGCAATCCGAAAGGATGTGACAATGTATGCTCCTCAGCATAGATCTTCGGTTGCTTCCAGATCGTGTGGATTGCCCACAACTTCTTTGGAGTGTCCGGAAAAGAACGATTTCCATGGGCCATTTTCTTCTCCATTCACAACAGCTCCAGCTGCAATGTAGCATCCAGGATGCACAATTCCAGAGACATAGATATGACCTAAAGTGAGTCCATTGATGTCATAATAGTGGCCACGGGGGCAAAAATTGTCCACTATTGAGTTGCCCTGAAAGTGGCAGTTGGCAAATTCATCAATAGTGCAATCAAAGAACCAAAGATCACCATTGACTTTGGCCCCCATGAATTGAGCATAAGTCATGAACAATGGGGTACCCTATGTGGAGAAGATTAGAGCATTGAAGGCTGACAAGCTTGGTTTTCCAGTTCATCTTTGGATCATGACTGTGGATGGAACTCACTGCATTATTTAAGCCAGCGGAGCTGTGTAACCTCGGCAGAAAGGTTTCAGTGTAGAAGCAGATACCCCTATAGCTAGCTAGCTAGAAGCAGATACATCTAGTGCTTAGCTACCTCTAGTGCTTAGCTACCTAGAGCTTAACTTGCGCTTAGCTAGGTAGGAGCGAGATCCCCCCTAGCTAGAAGCAGATTCCCATAGCAAGCTAGAAGCAGATACCCCTAGCTAGCTAGAATACTAGTTATATAGCTTTCACTAGCTTTAGAGTTTTTCCTTGTAGGAGCAGATCCCCCTACTAGGATGCATGTAAATAGCTTTATCTGGTTTAAAAGCACCATCCTAGGATACTTATTTAGTTTTTGCTGACTTATTTGTATTTGTATTCTAACCCTACCCTTATACCTGCAGGGACCGCCGTAGCAGGAAAAACAATTTAAGCCAGCGGAGCTGTGTAACCTCGGCAGAAAGGTTTCAGTGTAGAAGCAGATCCCCCTATTAGCTAGCTACAGGAACGTTGTGGAATGGGCAGTCGTGCCTAGACAAGATGGTTTGGAATTAAGACAAGATTGGAAATCTCGTTTTGTCCTAATTCTCGATTAGGACACGACATCTTGTCCTATAATTCTCACTAGACAAATTGGGTGACAAGACTGGTAGATTTAAGACAAGATCACGAAACCAATGACAAGCAGAAACCAATGACAGCCACTCAACAGCAACAATCAAAAGGAGACCATGGCCAACATCGAAGACGACTACGACGATGACAACGACATAGGGCAGCTTGTGGTTCTCACTCCTAGCGAGATGCTAGAGAGGGGGTTGCTGTTTGCGGACTATTCCAAGAAGACTGTCGACCGTTGCAAGGAATCAACCAGCATCGAAAGGTTCTTGTCGCGATATGGAGCATCTCCAACCGTGCTGTGCGCCATCTTTGAAGATCTCTAATGATCTGAGAATGAAGAATGCCGCGTAGATTCTGGATCAATCGGCTGGATTATTTTCTCATGTCCATGCACTTTCTCCGACAATATCCAACAGAGCATGAGCGCGCTGCAGCGACGGGATTTCATCGCGCATTCTCCTCCGTCTTTGCCTTTTTGCGACTGGTGAGATGATCGCATACAACCAAAAAGACTGCGTAATTGTCTTCTCAGTCCTTCACCTTTGCAAGTTGATGGTCAATCTTCACAGTTCCAATCAAAAGCTGAAGCCAATTGTCCTCTCCAGAATCGGCAAAAATAGTCTTGGCATCGAACTCGTGATCATCCGGAAACACAAGTCGATAGTATTGGAACTGCTTGATAGCCGGCCCTCCCTTTGGTTGCTTCTTCTTGAGCTTGTCATAACTATGATCCAATGCACCCGCAAGTCCCTTGGCAGCGTTCGTTGTCAATGCTTCAAATGCATCTCGATGGAACCGCTGATTGTAATCCCAGGCGGGGAGTTTGATCAATACCTCATTGCTGCTCGTAATACACGCCGACTACCAAAAGGTCGTCAGATCTCCAAAATCCAGCGGAGATCAATAGAAGAACAATACCGTATCCATAATAGAGATATCCTTTGTGGTCGCCCACACCCTCAAGCATCTGGCTGAGCTCGTAGACCTGAAGTGACCCATTATTTGCCAGATTTTCAATATCGACTTCTTGGATTGGAACTAAGAAACAAGCAAAAGGCAGTGAGGAGAACAGCCAAGAACAAACATTATTCCATTTCTCAGCATGTACGAATGCTAGAGTTGCTGTTGCCCAAGTTCAAATTGTCGAGACTGGCAGCAAGATCTTTTGTTGGGGTAGATTTCTTCATCTTGGCGATCCCTTGCTGCTTTGTTGGTGTTGACTTCGGAGTTTCCTGCGTTTCCTGCTTCTTCTTGGGTAGTTTGGTGGGCGTCTCGATCACTGCTGGAACAGGCAGTTCGTCATCTTCATCTTCGTCTTCCTTTGAGCTGATCGAAGAATCTGTTTTCTCAACCTGTTCTTTCTCTTTCTTGGTAGGCATTTCTGGAATTTCTAGCTTCAGCAATACTCTGCTCCGCCACTGATTCTGTGACAACAATTCCCACTTGTTTACCTTGTTGCTAATCTTGGTACAAAGAGCCGAGCCAACTTCTCCGTACAAAGCTTTGTCGTCCGAGTTGTGCTTGTCGAGAAGCTTTTGCAGCACCTTTGGGCCCTTTAGCTTGTGAATTCCTCCGTACTCTCGTTGAATGTCAGTTGCAAGAGACTTGATTACAAATGCGGGTAACCTTGGTCTACTGCCAACAGTAGACGATGCAACAGACCCTCCACCAGGATCAGCCTTTGTTTCCTCTTTCCACTTCGGGTTGAGACCATTGTGGCACCTTTGGGCCGCCAAAAAATTGGAGGCAGAATTCTGAATTCAGAGGTCACCTAAGCCAGCAAGGCCTGCTCGTGGTAGGATTTCTACGTGTATCCCTGCTCTTCAAATTCTTTCTTGGAGAGCTAGATTTTTAGCTCTCAAAGTTCTTGAAGTTAGTTGGGTCGTTTGACAGCAACAGCAACAACAACAACACACAACAAACCATGCCGCGACGTCAAACCACCAAGAATTCGAGGACTCCTCCTCCATTACCACCCGACATCCTAAGGATGAGCAGTTGGAAGTCCATTGGACGAGATCCCACAGATGCCGAAGAATCCTGGCTCAAGAGCAAAGCTAGAGCGCTTTTGATGCAAGATATTATCGACAATGTGATTCCGCGACAGCCCGACAAAGCAATGCCAACCAGTGAGATCTTTACAAGCCGTACCGAATATGCTCTTCATGGGTACAAAAACTTCTCGACACGACTTTCAAGCCTTTGAAAGATTGTGAAGCGGCACCTCTCTAGAACCGATGATGACAAGGCTGCATGTAGCAATTTCCTCACAAACATGCAATGTTGTGCACAAATTCTCTGCTCATGGTTACCTGGAATGGGATGGATCAGAAGCAAAAAAGCGATTGGAAGAAGACATCGAGCTTGGCTTACTCGAGACGCTAGAACCGCGGAGCTTTGGTGCCTTCGAGATGCCTGAAAGTTTTTAGAGATCACATCTATCAGCTAGCCAAAACAAAGAAATACCTACATACATTGAATATGAAAGGAAAGAAGCGCTTGAAACCAAAGATAAAGAAGAAGAACAAAGCCTCCTAGCTGTCGATAGATGGAGTACGGTCGTAGTCGTCTTGTAATAGCTACTAGTAGTGTCGTTGAAAATTGGCTTGAAGACTTAGGACAAGATGAAAGATTTAGAGACAGCAACCTTGTCCTATATGACAAGACCGGAAGAGCCAATCCGGCTTATAGGACAAGATTTGAAGACAAGATTGAGAATTAGGACAAAACGTGTTTTCAATCTTGTCTTATTTCAAAATTAGACAAAATCGGAAGCACGACTGACAAGATACCGCGATTTCCACAGCGTTCCAGTTGCTTAGAAGCAGATACCTCTAGTGCTTAGCTAGTGCTTACTTGCTCTTAGCTAGCTAGAAGTAGATCCCCCTAGCTAGAAGCAGATTCCCATAGCAAGCTAGAAGCAGATACCCCTAGCTAGCTACAATCCTAGTTATATAGCGTTCGCTGGCTTTAGAGTTTTTCCTGGTAGAAGCAAACCCCCTACTAGGATGCATGTAAATAGCTTTAGCTGATTTTTAAAAGCACCATCCTAGCTAGGATACCTATTTAGTTTTGCTGACTTATTTGTATTCTAACCCTACCCTTATACCTGCAGGGACCACCGTAGCAGGAAAAACAATTAAAGGGGTTGAGGGCTCTGGCAGCAAGACTGCCGAGGTAAAGGGGTTGAGGGCTCTGGCAGCAAGACTGCCGAGGTGATGATATTTGTGGGGTGTGTGTAGCTGGAAATGATTCATAAATAGGAAGTTTATTAAACTACATCTGATGTATCAACATTTTTCGATGTTGAATCACGTGGCAGCTTCATTGAATCTTGGGCATCCATATCACTTCTTAAGAACACTTTCCATGGACCATGCTCAGCACCAGATACCACTGATCCAGCAGAGGCATAACAACCTGGATGCAATATCCCAGACACATAGGTGTCAGCAGTAGTAAGCCCATTGATATCAATGTAGTGTCCGGTCACGTGGGCACTATCAACAATTGTGCTCCCTTTGAAGTGTAAACGCTCGTACTCATAGAGAGCATCGCCAAAGTACCAAAGCTCTTCTTCAACCATCGCACCCATCATTCGAGCATAGCAGGCAAACATTGGAGTTCCATGTAGCAGGAAAACCAGCCAGTTTCCTTCTCGAAAAAACCAGACATAGTTTATGTAAACTCCAAAGAAACTCTGTTGAGCATACGCCGGCAAAATCCACAATGCTTTTTCAACTGCTCTGGATAAAAGTATCCATACGAAAAATTGGAGAGCAAAGGCTGTCACAATCCCACATGTAGCAATGGAAATGGAAGAGCTCTTTGTGACAGCAAGGCCAATCTCATAGGCAGGAATGAGGGAAGCAAATATCATCAAATTGAAGATCATTTGAAACATTTCTGGAAGGAACCAGTCCATAATCAAATCAAGCTTCCGTGCATATCCAGATTGGTTCCAATCGTAGACTCTGTGAAACACATTTGATCTCGGTGGAATTGCAGATCGCATAATCTTGACACCAGAATGGAGAACAACATTGTAGCCAACACTGCTGTTGATAATCTCAATCTTAGAGTCACCTTTCTTGCCAAAGTCAAGTGAGATTGTAGCAACAAACGATTTCCGGATCTTAAGAAAGTCAACGTTGGAAGGGAAGAAGATGAGGTACGGGTTGTTGAGGCATGATTCCATATCAACATCAAGGCCATGGAGGAAGAGGACAATGGTCCACAATCTGGATTGGCCAATGAAGGGAGTAAGAGTCCGAGCAGC